GTGGCAGACCTGAAATTATAGAGTTCAGGGCCTGGGAACTCATTACAATTACATTTTCTCTGATAAAATTCATTACTATGTAATGTTCTCTGATAACTAGTATTCCAGATATTCAGTTTCTTGTTTCTAAAAACTTGCTTATGTTGAAGTTTTAAGAATTTGATTTCTTAATCTAGTGAAGCTTTTCAAGAAACATCCTTTAAATCTGTGGTGACAGTTCTCGACTGAGGGCTGGATTCCTCACTAAGAAATAACAAGCAACATTTAAAGACACTTTCAGTTGTTAAAACTGGAGCTAATTTTAGCTTCTTGGGAAGAGAGTACAAGATGCTGCTAAACACCCTGCAATATACATAAAACAAGGTTTTCCCACATGGAATATTTGGCCCAAAATGTCAGTAAGAGTTAAAGCTGAAAAAACCTGACCTATATCAAACTCAAATATCAATATGCTATAATAAGAAATTACTCAATTACTGAGATTCCCAGTGCCCAAAGGCAGAAAATAATGTAAGAGAAATAACCAAGAAACCAAATCATTGCATGAAAAAAATGTAAGTTCAGTAATACATTCTAGCTATCTTGCTTGTGAAAAGTAGTCAACAATTACTTCTTAAAAGTAATTTTCTTTGGTACCCAAATTTAAGAAAATATATTAAAGTATTATCCAGGGAAAATAAAAAGGACTAAAATGGGCCAGGGAGATAGCTCAGTGGCATAAGTGCCTGCCTGGCAAGCACAAGGTCCTGAGTTTGATCCCTGGTACCACAAAACAAAACAAAACGACTAAAATGTAACATGTACAATATATATACCAATTCCCTTTTTGAATATATTAATCATGTATCACAAACATGCAATAATACATAAAAAACTATTTTCTACTCTGTGCATATCTTATTTACTTACTTCTTTTAAAGGCGGCAAACGAGGTGGTGGGAGAAAAAAGCGAAGATCACTGTTTTGACTTCGTGCCAAACCAACAAGAGTCCTTGGGTCATAGGCCTGAGCAACTGTCCTATACTGGTAATCTGTTGTAAAAGTGTATTTTTTTAATAAACACCTAAATTACCTTATAATTGTCACAAAGATTAAATGAACAAACTACTTGAAAGAACTCTAACTTTTAAAATGTCTTACAATACTAACTTTTAAACTGTTATACAGAATTTCCCATGTATTCTTTCACAAATTATAACCATATTTACAATATTTGCAATCTCAGTACTCAACATTTCTATGACTGATCTCAAAATCTTCTTCAACATTCACTCTATCTGGGGAATGTGTCAGTTTGATTTTTGGGAAACAATGAAATTCAAATAATGAAACCTCCTCAGTCAATATCCATTTAGCAAGTTTTTAAATAATCCTAACAATCAAAAGCTGTTTTTTCACTACTCAAAACACTAGAAGCTGCACTGAAGTCTAAGTCTAGTGGTGATGTTATGATTCTTTGGCATCTATGTTACCCATGAATATTTAGATAGTAGTACTCTAAACATGCCATTCTTTATGAATCAAAAATAAAATTCCAACTGTTGAAGTTGACATGGTTTTCCAAAACAGCAGCTGATAATCTCAGTGAAAACTGCAGGATCACGTGGAAAACTGCTTCAAAATCCATATGCCAGAGCTCCTTCTCTGATTTTTCTGATTTAGTAAGTTAATATGGAGCCCTGGAAGGTAGATTTTATTTATTTTATTTTATTTTATATTTTGGCAGAACCAGGGATTGAACTCAGGCAGTTGTGCTTGCCAGGAAAGCACTTATTTCACTGAGCCATCTCCCCAGCCCCTGGCAGATTTTATTTAAAACAGATTTTTATTCTTAGTTTCTAATTATACTGTACTTGTAAATTATTACAATTAT